TGGAAGACTGGCTTGGTAACACAACCTAACCAGGCTTGCTCAAGACACACATAACACTGGAGAACCTATGTCAAGCTAGTTCAAAAAGCATAGGTAAGTATTGCTGGAGGCTGGCAATTTGACTACAAGACTACCTAGGTGACCTGGTTTTGGGTAATTGCAACACCACAGACCTCCTCTGGGAAAATGGCCAAGTCCTATTGATTGCAGGGAGGTAAGAATCGCTTTCTCCTTCTTTCCAGGTTTTACTTTGCAGATTATCCTCATTATCCCACAACAGGTACTTCACAAGACAAATCTGTTTAAGAAAGGTGCTCAGATACAAGATGATTATATACCACCAGCAGTTAAGAGAAGGTATTACTTTATTTCCAGTGGTTATCTACAGCTCTTACAGCTCTCCACAAACGTATGCTGCCCAGTATATCTGTGCTAAAACAAGTAAAACACATTTCCCTTCAAGAACCTATAGGAAAAAAACCCGCTTATTTTACAGCATCCATCATTAGAAGGTTTCTGGAGCCCTCCCAGTAGTAGTAATAAAAAAAAAAAAAAATAATCAAAACAGGCTAATTCCTCACTGATTTTCCTCCCGAGGCGTTCAGAAACATTCTCCTGCTGGTCTGCGCATTTGAGTTTATTTACTTATCCCTCTTTCCTGTTCCCTCTCTTTCCCTATCTTCCTTACTTATTTGTATTTCCTCACCTCCTTTATATTGTTGTCCTTCTTTTCACCTCTCTAATTCATTATGGTCTGCAGGGAAACTAAGTCAAATTGTATGTTTCAGCCTGAGCACTCTCATCTCCTCTCAAAATGAGTTTGAAAACTTAGGTCTTCATACCAAAACTGCACTGTCTGTGAAAAGAAGCATAAATCAGAACAGTAGTAAGAATTGGGAAATACCAAATAATAGAGTTACAGACAACAGGGTGCCTCTGGGCTCTGACACATGCTCTCCCACCACACACAGATACAAGAGGACAACTTACTTGGCATTGGCAAAATCCAGGCTCTGCAATAGTGTTTGGCCAAATAAAAAAACCAAACCTCCCATCGGAGATCGGAAAACAGTGGCAGGTCACTTTATAGGCAAACACCTAAAAGCAGGAATGTACCTGGACAGGGAAAAGTCACACAGCTCCTGGGCAGCCCACTAAGAGAAATGCATCCTGAAATCCTGCTCAGAGAGTTTCAAGTAAACACATCAGTGGTAAGGACTATTTGTGCAGACAATTAACAAACGACACAGAAGTCAAATATGGGCTTTCTGTAAATCCAGTTCTATTACTAACCCTATTTCAGAAGTCAGTTGATTTACTTTCTCTTTTCAAAGGATGGATGTGAACAGAAAGACAGAAAAGAAAGCAGTAAAGGCACAGTAAAAACCAGTCTTTCAGAAAGTACTAGTCATATAGGTATCATCCAAATAAATGTAATTATATGCAAATTCGATTCTAAAACAGAACACAATAAAGTTACCAGAGACTGGGGGGTTCTATTTTGAGGCAATGTGCATTCATTCCCAACACCAAACCTGAAAGAAGGAAGTTTGGGAACCTCTTTTGGAAACCCTTGAGAATGCTCTCTGTTCTAGCACCTCTGTTGCTACTGTGGTAGGTCTACGTTTCTGTTTTCCTAAAATCAGGATTATAAAACTACAATCTTACTGCAATTTACCACCACTGACTCCAGTAGGTCTCACTTCAGTACAACATCAGCCACTGCCTTTTCAGTCTGGAACAGCAACATTATAAATCAGTGTGAAGATGGAGGCACGGACCCAGAGGTAGAGTGCAAGCTGGATCGTTTATTGCAAAGATTACATGATATTTATATGCTTCAAAGCAATTAGCCAAGCACATCTGTGTTTGCATTGCCGTTACACCAGGTGAAAGGTCCATCTGATTTTCTTATCGACATCCTCTTCCCAGTTCCAATGTCCTTGCTCCTTGCCAGTTCCAACATCTTCCAAGTACCAGTCAGGGATGGCTCACTCCTGATTGCCTGCTGTAGTTCCTAATTCCCATGGTCACTCTTAATTGCCTGCCGTAGCTTCTCCTTCCCATGGTCTCTGACAGTTTCGATACATTCCACCCCCACAAATCAGGGACCTGGCATCTTGCGCAAGGCAAAGTGACATTTAGTTTTAAAACAAAAACCACAATTAAAAAAAATCTTCATAAAAATACAAATGTGCACATTTATCAAATATTATATACCAATTACATGGGACCTTGGCCATGAAGACAACTTTATGCAGCTCACTACTGTCCTGTGTCCCTTAAGAGCCCCCTGAGCTCATTTCCCAAATGCTTCTTTAAACTCTTTCACCTCCTGATGCTCAGATTCTTTACCTACAACTACAGCAAATTAAATCTAGAGAAATTCTTGCAGTGCAGAAAGATCAGTGCCATTTAACCTTTTACTGGTTTGCATTATTTAACCAATAATCTGAGCCAAGAGTTAATCCTTATAAAGTCCTTCCAAGCCTTGCAGAGTCTGTTCCTCATGGCAAAATCATCCTACACATACCAGGAGTTAAACCTCCAAGTTTTTCTTCTCTTGAGATTTTATATCTTTAAAATGAGATTATCTAAGCTTTGCTCAAAGCATTCTGAATTCAGTTTCAAGGCACAATCCATTAGAAGAAAAAATTTCACACTGCAAATTAAAAAAAAAGGCTGGGTTCTGCACAGCTTTCTACACGATTCCATTTTGGTCAACTAACTTGAAATTCATACACCAGTTTGTGCAAAGCGGGACTGTAAGTATTCAGTAAGACATTGAAACTGTGCATGAATTTAAGATTATGCATCAGTTTCTGTTCCTCGCTGAACTGGTCTACTATATGTGATTCTTTTATGGAGATAAATATTTCAGAGGAAAAAAAAAAGGAAGACTTGCTAGAACTCTTCCATCCCCAAATACAACATGAAGACAAGAACATGGAAATAATCGTGGCCTGATATTTTGGTCACAGGTCTATTTTACTTTGTTCATCTGCATAAAATGCAGGTACCATCTGAATTCTGCTGCTTTGATTGTTCTCCGTCCTCCTAGTAAACTGATGCTGCCTTTTTGTTAGGATTTCACAGGATCATAATCATTAAATGCAAAAAAAAAAAAAAAAAGTAAATAAAGTAAGGAGAACAAAAACAACTTTGGCCATATTTTCTATGCCTGAGAACGTCCAAAAAAGTCTGCTAAGCTTAAAAGCACTCAAAACCACAGCACCCTAAATAAATCCACAGCACAAAAAAAGTTAATTGGCACACGCCCACGTAAGTACTAGCAAAACTTAAAAATTCTAGTTCAGAAAAAAGCATTTCAAAGAAGTCAAAAAACAAAACAAAAAATAAAAGACAAAGCATAAAAACCTCAAAACACCCCAAACACCTCACCTTGATAAAAGCCGAACCCAAAAGAAGCTCCCTGTTTGGAAGCTGTGCCTTATATATCCCAGGCCCTACCCACAACCCCTCCCTCAATGCCCTGGCTCAGGGGTGGGGCCAATCACTACCTGAGATAAAAGCAGCCTGACAAGGGACAGCTGGGTTGGTTTTGGTTGGAGTTTGCTTTGTTGGTTTGTCTCTGGCTTTTAAGTTTTTGGCCTTTTTTTTTTTTTAGGCTTTAGGTTTACTTTCAAAGCTCACAGACTACATAGCTTCAATTTTATGAAGTCAGGTTGAGAGTTACACACAGAAAACTCTCAAAAAACTTAGATATTAATGAATTTTCTGCTTCGGTGACGTACGGCGCATGCGCAGACTGTCCGAGCTACTGCACATGCGTGAGAGTGCGGACTTACTGCTCATGCGCATGCGCGGACTGTTCGAGCTACTGCGCATGCGCGTGAGTGCGGCGTTACTGCGCGTGCTCCTCCCAGCCAGCAATGCCCAGCACCCGCCCCATAGAGCCCACTGAGGCCCCATAGACCTCCCAAGCCCCATTTAAACCCCCATAGACCCCATTGAAGCATATAAACCCCATTTAACCCACCATAAACCCATTTAGCCCCCCCACAGACCCTCTCCAAACCCTCTTTAACCCCTAATAGACCCCCCAAAACCCATTTAACTGCCCATAGACCCCACTTAAGCCCCCACAGATGCCATTTAACCCCCATGACCCCCAAACCCCATTTAAACCCCTATAGAGCCTACTGATCCACCCCATAGACCCCATTTAACCCCCCATAGACCCCTCTAAACCCCTTTAACCACCACAGACTCCACTGAACTTCTCATAGACCACCCAAACCCCACAAAATCCCAAAAAAAACCCATTTAACCCCTCCCACAGACCCCCCCCAAGGTCCTTTAACGTCCTATAGGCCCCCCAAAACCCATTTTACCCCCTCCATACCCTCAAATCCCCTTTAACCTCCTACAGATCCCCCCAAACCCCTTCTAATCCCCATAAACCCCCTTTAATCTCTCAGAGACCCCTTTTAACCCCCAGAGACCCCATCTGACACCCCCTATAATCCCCATTCACATCCCACTGTACTCCCTTTCAGCCCCACTCCTTCCCCTCCCCACCAATCCCAGTGCAGCTCCGCACCCCCCCTTAACCAATCAGCACACACTTCCCCATGCACACGTTCAGTCTGGGGCCGAATGATGCCGTTGCGACTACCACACCTTGGGCACCGTTTTCAACCCACAAACAAGCATTTTAGTCCCAAAATGACTGGGTTTAGCCCCAAACCGGCCGTTTTCAGCCCCAAAACAGCCACTTTTAGCCCACAAACAGCCATTTTCAGCCCCAAAACGCCCGGGGTTAACCACTTGCAGCCCACAAACAGCAGGTTTTGCCAATTTTCAGCCCCCAAACAGTCGGTTTTGCCCATTTTCAGCCCACAAACAGCCAGTTTTGGCCCCAAAATGGCTGCTTTCAGCCCACATGTGGCCATTTTCACCCCCAAAACAGCCAGTTTTGCCCATTTTCATTTCCCAAATGGGTTTTTTTTCCCCGTTTTGCCTATTTTCACCTGTTTTCGCCCCCCACCCGCCTGTTCCACACTGTTCCTTCACTCGCTGCCATCCCACTCGGCCCCGTAGCGCTCCTGCAGCTCAGCTACGTTGTCGCAGGAGACGCGGCGCCAGCCCTCGGGCCCCACGTGGTAGACGGAGACACGGCCGCCCGAGTAGGCGTCACGGTGTGCAGCCTGGAAGATGGCGCGGCGCGCCAGGGCACAGGCAGGCTCCAGCTCCAGCTCTGGGTGGTAGCCGCGGTCCAGCACCCCATAGGCGTAGGGCGAGCCCGAACCCACGGCAAAGGCGGTGCCTGGAATGCGTGTGCCATCGCTGTCCACATAGTAGAGGCCTAGGGGGTGATGAGGGGCAGCAGGGTCAGTTGGGGACCATAGGAAATAGAGACCCACAACCATGGTCACCAGCCCCATATAACTCAATACCCAACTCCCTGACCCTGCAACAACCAACTCCAACCTATAACCACCTATCCTGTGGTGCCCACCAACCCCTAACTTTGACCATGAGCCCCATAACCACCAGCCTACGGTGTCACTCACCCCTTAACCCCCAATCCCCTGGTATCTACCAGCCCATAACCATAATCCCAGTCTCCTATACCTCAATACTCAAGTTCTTAACTTCACAACCATGAATATCACCCCATAACCATCAACCCCCTGATGTCCATCACCCCCTAACCTTGACCACGAGCCCCATAACTCCAACCCTATTGTATCCATCACCCCTTAACCATAAAACCCAGCTCCATATCCTTCAATACCCATCTCTTTGGCCCCATAACGCCCAACCCCATGATGTCCACCACCCCATAACTCCAACCCCATTGTGCCCACCACCCCCTAACCATAACCCCCAACCCCATATGTTTCAATACCGAAGTCTTTGGCCCCATAACCCCATGGTGTCCATCACCCCCTAACCATAACCCCCAGCACCATATCCTTCAATACCCAACTCTTTGGCCCCATAACCCCCAATCCCATGGTGTCCAGCCCCTGCAACCCACACTCACCAGGCCCCCTCTTGTCCCAGCCGCCGATCATGGTGCCCATGCTGAGCCCCATGCCCTTGTACTGGTACACCATGTTGGCCAGCAGCTTGGCAGCGGCGGCCACCGAGGCGTGCTGCCGGTGACGCAGGCGGTACACACGGCACTGCCGCGCCAGCACTCGCTGCCAGAAGGCGCAGTCAGCGGCGCCGCCAGCCAGGGTGCCCAGCACCCGCGCGCTCACCTCCAGCACCTTCTGCACCGACTGCGATGCCACATAAGAGCCGGCCGTGGCGCGCGAGTCAACAGCCAGCACCACGCCATGGGGCAGCTGCGGAGGAACAGCAACAGCGGGGCTGGGGGGGGGGCTGGAGTCCCTACATGGGGGTCTATGGAGGGCTTAAGGGGGATATGGGGTTCTGGAGTTCCTACATGGGGTCTATGGGGGGATTAGGGGGGATATGGGGGTCTGGAGTCCCATTATGGGGGACTGTGGGAGCATATGGAGGGATTTGGGGGTCTGGAGTCTCTACAGGGAGTTCTGTGGGGGTGTGGAGACCCTTTATGGGGGTGTATGGGGGGATATGGGGGTCTGGAGTCCCTACATGGGGTTCTAAGGGGGAATATGGGGGGGATATAGGGTTCTATGGGGGTTTATTTTGGGTATATGGAGGTCTGCAGTCCCAATATGGGGTTCTTTGTGGGGATTTCGGGGTCTGGAGTCTGCTACAAGGGGTTCTAGAGGGAAATATGGGAGGCTATAGGGGGGATATGGAGAACTGGAATCCCTACATGGGGTTGAATGGGGAAATATGGGGAGATAAAGGGTGTCTATGGAGGGATATGGAAGTCTGGAGTCCCTAAATGGGATCCTATGAGGCCTATAGGGGGGGAATATGAGGGGGGTCTGTGTGGGGATTTAGGGGTCTGGAGACCCATAAAGGGGTCTGTGGGGGTCTATGGGGGCATTAAAGGAGATACAGAGGTCTATGGGGTGGTTATCTGGTAAAAATGGGGGCTTACAGGTGTCTATGGCGGGTTAAGGGGAAATATGGGAATTTGTGGGGTGTCTCTGGTAGGTTATGGGGGTCTATAGGGTCTCTATGTGCCCCAGCCCTCCCCAGTGGCTATGGGTGCCAGCTGCCCCAAAATAGCTCTTTCTGGGCTCCTATGGGGTCCCTATGTGCATACCCGCCTTCCAATGTGTGCCTATGGAGTTTCTATGGGGTCTCTATGGGTTCCAGCACCCCCCAATATCTGTGGGTCCCAGACCCACACCCCCCCCAATGTCTTTCCATGGGTCCCAGCCCCCTCAATGTCTCTCTGTGAGTCCCAGGCCACCCCCCCCAATGTCTCTCTATGGGTCCCTATGAGTCTCTCTGCCCACCGGTGTCCGCACCTTGAAGGCCAGGGTGGTGGTGCCGTGCAGGAGGTGGATGCCGGGCCCGGGCAGCAGCGGCGGCAGCTCCCGGAGGAGGGGGGCGGCGATGCCGGCGGGGGGCCCGGCCGGGTCCCGGGGCGCGGCGAGTCCCGGGAGGAGGGAACGGGACGGGAGCGGAGCCTCCGCCCGTACCACGCTCGCCAGCGCCATCTTGGAACGAAAAAGGGCGGCGGCGCAGGCGCGGTGCGGCCGTTACCACGGCAACACGGCCGCCATGATGGCTGAGGGCATGAGTCGGCAGGAGGGAGGGGCTGGGCTCAATATGGAGGAATGGCGGGTACACAATGGCGCCTCACCAATATAGCCGCCCCCAGACTCCCAACATGGCCACACTCAAGATGGCGCCGGCCACGAAGAACTCTCACCAAGGCACCTCCCACAGCCTCCCAGCCGCTTCCACCGGCTACCGCCCCCCCAGCTGCCGTTGGCTGCCGCGCTCAGCTTTACACCGCACCCCCCCATCACCACCACCTGCAGTGCCGAGCTTTGGCCACAGGGCGGCAGCAGAAAGCGGCGCCTGCCTCCTCACGTGCAGTACTAAGGGCTGTTCACAGGATGGCAGCACCCGCTTACTTAGTCGGTACCGCAGAGGCAATGGGCTGCGCTCCCCGGCCCAGTTCACATCCTCCAGCTACTTAATGGGGATGTAGACTTGAATTTATAGGTTTAATAGCAGTAGTGTGTGTGACTTCAAACTAACACAGTTGAATGGAGCAAACTGTTCTAACTTGCTAACACGCAGAGAAAAAGGAATGTTCGGCTGATGAGGGCAGGAACACCACAGGAATGTAACAACGAAGGATTCAGTAAGACCAAGGATGCTAGCCTTCAAGATTCAGAGTGGTGCCCAACGTGCAGTAAGACAGGAACAGAACAGAAGCAAGGACATTCCAGCTGCTAACTCAGCACTAGAACCTCGCAAACATGTGCCAGCACTGAGGTCATTCAGTAAACATAGTGAGGAACACTATCAAAAACCAACAGAGCCCGCACATCAGCAAGAAAGCGCATGCGTGATTAGAACGTAGATATTATGCCTAGTTCACAGAAAAGCTATGAATACAGTATCACAGTATCACAGTATGTTAGAGATTGGAAGGGACCTCAAAAGATCATCCAGTCCAATCCCCCTGCCGGAGCAGGAACACCTAGATAAGGTTACACAGGAACGTGTCCAGGCGGGTTTTGAATGTCTCCAAAGAAGGAGATTCCACAACCTCCCTGGGCAGCCTGTTCCAGTGTTCTGTCACCCTCACTGAGAAGAAGTTTCTTCTCAGGTTTAAGTGGAACCTCTTGTGCTCCAATTTGTACCCATTACCCCTTGTCCTTTCATTGTTTGTCACTGAGTAGAGCCTGGCTCCATCCTCGTGACACTCCCCCTTTATATATTTATATACACTAATAAGGTCACCCCTCAATCTCCTCTTCTCCAAACTATAGAGACCCAGCTCCCTCAGTCTTTCTTCATAAGGGAGATGCTCCACTCCCTTAATCATCTTAGTTGCCCTGCGCTGGACTCTCTCCAGCAGGTCCCTGGCCTTTTTAAACTGAGGGGCCCAGAACTGGACACAATATTCCAGATGAGGTCTCACCAGGGCAGAGTAGAGGGGAAGGAGGACCTCTCTCGACCTACTAACCACGTAAGTACACGTGAGAATGCTAAATATATAGCCACTGCCAGCAAGTGACAGCGTGCTTACCTTTGCGAAACTATTCAGGTGTGCGCTACGTGCTGCAATAAAGAATGCTGCTTTCTGAAGCCAACACCAATGTCTCAGGAAGCTCTTGCGTTCCTAGAAGCACGGCACAAGGCTGCAGTCTTAGTAAGCCCATGTATCTGCATTTGGTAAAAATGACTGCTGAGAGATGAGTCTTAGCAGAGAGGGTTACAACTCACCTCCCTCCGTGAAAAGGAAAAAAGCCTAACTCTTTGCACTCCCGTGGGGATGAAGTCAGACTCCGGGTCAGGTTTTGATTTCCACGTGGTTTAATAAGTTAACAGGTTCAGCCATTACACAGCAATGGAATTCTTCTTCAACGTTTACAAAGGTGCAAGAACTTCATTCATTTAGTCCAAATTAAGTAATTTTATTTTTATCTCTTAAATAGCTACATGGTTCCTTTTTCCCCCCCTCCCCCTCCTCTAAATGATCGAGGGTTAAAATAATCCACCCAGAGAGAAGGCATCAAAGTACAAAAGAGCACATACAAATTCAGAGTGGATATTTGGTCCAGGACCTGTATGCACGAGAGAAGGTGGTGTGAAGCAGTCATGCCTGTAGAAGAAGCTGGAAAACCACAAGTACACAAAGATCTTTTCCAGAAGTTTGCACCACCGGAACTATTACTACACCATGACATACACTGTGCCCTACACAGGGAGAGGGGGGGCTGAACGATGCTAAAGACCCCAGAACATGCAGTCACCAGCCACCCAACATTCAAGCATCTCGCCGGCTATCCAAAAATGACATCTGTATTTAGCAGGCAATGAACTGAGAGAAGCCATCGCAGGAAGGATGCAGCAAAGCTAGAGACAAACAAGTGGAACAAAAGCATTTGTAAATACACATTTTGCCCCCTGCCCAGTTCTAGTCTAGAAACAGAGTGTGCCTGTGGCCCTCACCTCTGCTTTTATTATTACATATACTTTATTATATAAGCTTTCATTATGCTCCTCCCACCCCCAAAACTGTTTTCTGACTAGCTCTCTACCCAAGTAAACTCCTATTGCTCCCCTCCACATTAGCCCATCTGCCTATAAGCCTGTCCTCAGGTACACAAACACACAAGGGTGCTTGCAGGGGCAGAAGTTGGACCTGTTTGCTCAAGACTGCCTCCAAAAGTGTCCATGTAAGAAATATTTTGTGGATACCACAAAAGCCAGTTAAGGCCACTTTCCCTATCTACCAATCAGTGCCATCATTTCGCAGCGTGGCAGGCATGGGCACTTGCACAGCACACTCTAATTACAAGAGCGTGCAAACACGTGCACATGTATAACCCCTCTGCCTTCGAGCACCCTCTTCGATTATCAGGCATCAGTCAGGCATCCGTCAGGCTAAAGCCTACGGCACCCCAAATTGCTGAAGTTTTGCAGTTCCCTCTATTCCCATGCCTATTTTCTCTCGCCTCAAAGAGGATACCCCTCACAAACTGACACCAAGGGTTTTTTTTCCCCATGTGGAAGCGCTTAACAAGCCTTACCAAAACATGGTGAGAGGATGTATCTGGAGGAAAATAAGCATACAAGCATACTTAAGCCAGCAGAGCAATGCAGTATTTGGAACGCAGGCCCCTATGAGCAGGTTGGACTCCTTCAGAAGCCTCCCCACGTTCAAACCTGCCACTCTGACAGCAGTTCTTCCCCCACATATTTGGTTGAGGACCAATTTCACAATGTGTAGATATAAAGACTGCACTGAGACAGCAACCTGGCAACTACAAATGGTTCTAAAAAGTTTGATGGCGACCTGCACCACACACTGGGGTTGCTTCGTGGTCCCAGGCAATGAAATGCAAGGGCACCGAGGCAAAGACATGGGTATGTGGTAGAAGTTAAGCAGGGAAAAGGAGATTTCAAATAGCATTTCTTCTTGTCCTAAACCCAAGCAGAGAATTAAAAGCCGAGAGCACTCTGGGGAAAAACTCCCTGGGACCATGTCTTAACAGTTTCTGGAGGCCAAAGAATTACATGACCTTCCCTTTCCTTCCAAGAAGATTAGGATAAAAGAATGGTTTCTCACACTGATAATCGCACCTTCCTCGTGAGGCGGATTCATTACCGTTCTTGGCTTTGGAAAGACAAGAGACTCACCTGTGCTCGCATAACCAGGATTAGCAAAACCAGCTGCCTACTACTCGAGGGAGAACATGACTGCGAGTGTGAGAAAGGAAGCCATGTACAGACACAAACAGAAAGGATCGACATGTTACTCAGGAGTGTATCTGAAGTGAAAAGCTCCTGGTGCATGTGGCTGAGCCACTCCCCCTACCCCTCTGTCCCTCAAAACAGCAGTTTACCCAAACACCCTCAAAAATATTCCGCGCTTCCCAATAACGTTTAGAAGATAAGAGGTTGCAGTATTAGTCCTACACCATTCAGCTTTGAGAAGCAACAAAACGGCAGAAAGTACATCTCTGCTAGGAAACACAAGCAGGTGTGGGAATTAGTGTCTGGGACGTGCGCTGTCAGCACTTGACAATATCCCTTTCCTTCTCAACTATCTAACCCAATAGAAACTTTTACAGAAATTTACAGGTCATGATAAAAAGCACCACCAAAAAATTCAAGGGAGGATATGCACTGACTGTTACATGTCCTATGCACCATTCATTCCACAGATTGCAGCAAAGGAAGATTCCCCAGATGAGTGTTCTGCCAGGGCAATGCTCAAAATCAAAACCAGTACCTCCACCACGATACATCAGCAGGCATTGCCTGGAGCAGACAAACTGGAAACAAACTCTGGAAAGCCCAAGGATGTAATTGCCTGTTTAACATGGCTAGAAAGGCATCCTTGGTCCCCAAACTCTATCAGTTTCACTCCTAGCTTTCCTATCGTCTCCTTCCCCCAAGGGAGAACAAAACATTCCAGTTGAAATCTAGGTATGCGTTTCTCAGACAAGAGCCTCGATTGCCTTTCCTACCTCTGGTCTACAGCAACAAGGACAAGCCTCACTAGGCCTTGTGGATCTGGAAGCACAGCAAGGAGCCTTGGGCATTCACCTCTGGCTGCTCCGCACCAAGACAGCTTGAGCTGCTCTTGCTGTTTAAAGAATACAGGACTATTCAATGAGACACACAGAAAGTCCTGCGATAAACCACAACTGAAGAGCTGCTGGCTTGTCTGGAAGTTCCCTTCTATTCAAGCCAGCACTTCTAATGCGAGGTTCACAGCCATGCCACCAGAGGAGCGGTGCTGTCTGGGCTCAGCCAGCACTTTTCTTTCAAAGCAATACCTTGACATGTTTTAAAAAAGAAAAAATGAAAACCCAAACCAGAGCACTGAGTACCATGAGCAACAGAGACAGATCAGTAGCAGGGAATTCCGAGAGAAGGAATGCCCAAAAAGGAACCAAACCCCAAGGTGCTGGGAACAGGGGTGTGCCTGCAAAGGACAGTGCCATGTGCAATGCCACACCAACCTGGCAAAGGAAGGCTACGTCAAACTGGTTGCCAGGTGGCTAGAGGAGAGCTGCATATTGCCACCTTCCACCAGCACCACAGCAGGAACCGCAAGCTCTCATCAAGGAAATCCACATTCAGCAAGAAACGGTGAGCACTCTGACACCAACAACACATGGAGCTGCAAATAAAGCCACAGTACCATGTGGATGAGGAAAGAAAAAAATGACAAAACACATGGAAGGACTACGGGATGAACAGAAAGACTCTTGGACCAAAACAAACAGATGGAGAAGAGGTTCCTGGTCAGCCAGCTGGGCTGGTCCAATTTCTCACACATGCTCAACCTTGTAGGGAGTCGGCAGGAAAGAAGAATCACTCCCACTGGCAAGCACCAGCAGTTTCAATGCAAGCCCCAAGTGACCCTGCCCCCCACCCCCAACCTTCAGACACTTTCAAGAGATACTCCAAAATACATGTCTGTCATTCGTTTCTCAGCAGCATACTGAATGCATTCCAGTCTCTGGAAATGGCCATATCGATAAACCAGAACGTGTCCTTCCAAAGAATGAGATGTTGGTTTATGTACCCTGTCAGGAGAACAACTGCTTTTGCAGTTGGTCACATCCTGCACAAGACAAAGTGACAGCTCCCACCTGGGAGGTACTGTAACAGGAGAGCAGAGCTAGTGAACCCAGTCAGGCCTAGACAACTGCACTTCAGGGAGGTTTTCCTCCTCTTTGCCCTACCTCCTTAACTCTACAACTCACAGGAGAGCAGGAGCTGTCATTCAAACCAGGCATGCTGTCAGGACACAAGGGTTTCTCTGAGAGGGTCATTACTCTAGCCAAACAAGGATTCGGGATATTCACAAAGGGAGCACGTCAGGAGAGCAGGAAACCATTTGTCTAGAAGGTCAGCCTCCTTCTGCACAAGGAGTTTTTCTCCCGTGTGCTTCTCCCTCCACAAATACCCACCACAGAAACACCTGCTGTTTGAATGCAGTGGACTGGGTTTGCTCGAAAAAAGGAAGTACCAGATGCAGTCAAGAAAGGCTCCTTCTACTACAAGAAACCTTTTCATCAGTGAAAACATATAAACTCTTGCCTCTTTCTGCCACATGGCTTTAGACTTCACACTGCCCTTTCACTAGGGCCACCACATTCCTCACCCCCATCCCCAGTGTGGTACCAGTCATTGGCAAGAACCACAAGAGCACGAGAGGCCAGGCACCCCACAAGTCTGGAAGCAACACCCCCAACCACCCCGAGGGAAAGGGTTCTGCTCTCACAACGGCCAGTGCACGTGTGCATCACAGCCTATTTCCCATCTGACAACGCGGATGTGGAAGGGAGGCTGCGTCATAGGGTGGCAGTGCTGACAGCACCAACCAGACATCCCTGCAAGGGTCCAGGCTTCTACAAAAACTCGCCTGATGGTTAAACTTCCTTCTCAGAGGCTCCTTCCTTCATCTGCATAGTGCAGAAAGCAGGCATCCCTCAGCACTGCTGGATACAGAGCTGTTCCAAGAGCCAAGAACCGCAGCTCATTCTCCCAGCAACTCACAGACTGGGAACACACCGCACCATACCTCAGTCAGATTACAGGCTCTGCACCATGCAGAAGCAACAAGAGCATTTAGATGGCCAGCGACTGCATCATTTTCTCCCACTAGAGCTGAGCAAGGCTACATCCCACGCTTCTCAGCAACCCAGCAGTTTCTCCATCTTTAACTCTGAGCACTGCTACTCGAAAGCCTCCCCACTGCCCCCTTCCTTCCAGGATGCACCCAGCGACACCAGACAGCTACAAGTGCAGAGTCGCTTCCACAGGTCCTGGGATTTCCACCAGAATTAGCATACCACCTGGATTTTCTGGGAGAGTACAGTGGGATATGACAGTCAGAAAGGGCTAAGGAGAGGCAGATGAGCCGCCTAAGCCCCGATTTCACCACCTCTGTTCCCCAAATGGCATAAAGCACCAGGGGTGTCTTCCCTTGCCAAGGCTGAAAGGAACCGGACCACAGGTCACAGATACCATAGAGCGGGAAGACAAGAGACTAGAAAAGGATCTCTGTGCAATCTTTACAGCTTCTCACTCCTTCAGTGCTCACTTGCCGTCACGCTGTCACTAACTTTGGGTTTGGATTTAGACTTAAAGGAGAAGCGCTTGATGAGGCGATGGGAGAAGCTGCCAGCTTTCTTCCCAGCGGTGGAGTCGGTGGCAATGTTGGACAAGTCATCATGCGACTGGCTTAGGCCTGCCTCCTTCTGCTTACTCTTCCTCCGGAAGATGAGCTTGGTTCCACTCCGAAGAAAGCTAACTGTAGAGATGGAAAGGAAGGAATTGAAAATCATAACAGTATCCTGGCCTCGTGTGTCTCGGGGGCAACAATGCATGCAGCTGCTCTCTGATGTGCAGCACAGCTATCTTCCACCCTGAGCAATGGAAGTTCACGGCAGCTCAGCAAATCCCAGCTCCCGGCCGCACGGCGAAAATCTACATTCAGAACAGGCTGCAATACCAACAAGTGGTTTCACTAAGCACACCATCACACGTCCCCTCTGCATAACCTTCCTTTTACACAACTATGTCCTCCCTGTAGCAGAAGAGTGCAGAACTGTAATATAATAAAGGTGTGCCATCCACCCAACTGACACAAGCCCAGGAAGTCTGGAACAGCAGCTTGGTCAGAATAGGAGGCCCACTCCGTTGTCTGAAAACAGAGAGTTCATGTGGACATCCTATGGTACAACAGGGCAGAAGCATGAGTTAATAGAGAAAGAGGGAGGGAGTCGAGGCCTCTACAATCCACATTGTCGGCCAGCCTCCGTTTCCATGCTAAAGGCAGCTGAATTCAGAGGAGGAATCATTTACGGAGGTGTGCCCAATGTGTAGTGCTAGAGGCTAGGAGAGAACAGAGGTTCTCAGAAACATGCAAACCATGCAGGGGCCAGAGAGCAGAGAATCTGGACAGAAAGCACAGAAACCGAAAAGGCCACAGCAATCGGACACCTGCAAACAAGAGAGTTTGGAACCTCTTCAGCAGGGAGCATGTGAGAAAGACAGGCTTTTCCAGGCTCTCGCAGAAGCCGTTCTTCGCCATGCTGCAAGCTGCCTGCATCCCCCCGCTCTGTGGGCAGGGAACTCAGACAGCGCTTGGTGCTCAAGTCTAACGTTAGCTACTGCCTACTAGGTCATCCATACCTTTGTGATCTTTCAAGCTCCTGGTCTCAAGTGCTCCTGTGGAACCAGTTTCAGACTCAACATCTTCCACCGATGGCCTCTCGGAGATGTCCGACCGTGTTGTCTCATCCAGCTCCTGACCGGCTCTCTGTCTAGACGGCGACGATTCCGGCAGCTGTGATGATTCAGTAGAATCGTGCATCCACTCGCCTGTGCCCTCTGCCACAGAATCCCTGTATGCTGTGGCCTCCAGGGATGCAGCATAACCCAGAGAAAGTGCCATTTCATCTTGAGCGATAGGTACCTGGAAGGGGATCAGAGGGTGAGACAGACAGGAAGACAGAGTTTAAAAGAATCACACTCATCTCCTGTTTTCCATTCACACCTACATATGGACACCCAGGATCCAATCATCAGTGCTGGATGACACCGATGCGCAACTGTCACCTTTTTGCTGAAACACACTGGAACGTGGTGAATTTCAAAGCATTCTGCACCACCTCCCTCACTCCATCAGGCAACTCCAAGGAGTCCACGAGGCTCCCAACCAGCTATGGCACCAGCCTCTGTTTCCATGGCTGCCCTTTGTGAACTCCCACCAGCAACTGCCCTGCAGACTGGCAGGGTACCTTTGACGCTCACTGGGAAGCAGTGACAAGCTGCAAGGAAGCAGCGAAATGGTTCTGTCGAGCAGTGTCTTCTGTGCCAGAACCTTCTCACACTGGTTCCTATGGGACCGGGTGGTTTTAATGCACCCATCCCTAGAAGACTTCACAGATTGGAAATGGAGCCTCACAACTACCAGAGACCTTGGAAACTCCCGAGATGATCAGCGTGCTACGTTTCGTTGGGGTCTTCTTGGCAGGCTTGTTATTTGTCTCAGTCAGCTGCCTGATCGCCGTCTCAGCCACTGGATCCAAGCCGTTGGGCATATAGCTATCCCCTGAGCACAAGAAAGATACCAACACTTGGTGTAGTGACCTTTAGCACCAGCAAGAGGTCGCTTCTTACCATGATGCTCATTATAGGTAACTCAGTATGCATAAAGGGAGAGAACAGAATTTACTACACGCTTGCCCAAATATACCAAAGGAAGGAAGCACCATATAGCTCTTGGCTCTTTCAGGCACCTGCAAAATTCGATTTCCCACCAGACATGTCATTAAAATACCCTTCCTGCTTGACAAAGACCTCCAAAGACTCTCAAGAGTCTGGGCACCCCTGGCCATGAACCATCAAAAAGTCTGCAGCTCTCTGTCTCAGAGACAACCAGAGTCCAGAGTACAGGAATCAGCACAGCTCTTTGGGTTCAGATAGCCTAAAACATTCTCATTAAAAAAAGGAAACGCCTGGAGTCACAGACCAGATAGCCACAGTGCCTTTTACCTGCTCCCACCCACCACCACACCTCTGACCCCACCTTCCCTCAGGCACTTGGACATCCTCTGCCACAGCAAACGCAGATGAGTTCTGTGCTCCACATTCAGACAGCAGACAACCTCCATGAAAGGCTAAGGAATACAGTCGCTCCAATAAAAGCCTCAGTTTTCCAAGCACTTACGGCTGCTGCTGGGCAAGGGGCTGCAAGGGCAGCTGCTTTCCAAAAGCACAGTTGTCTTCTTTTCAGTCACTTCCACCTTGGAAGGCGACCTCGATGGTGAATCTTCACGGTGGAAGAGAGGCAGAGACACAGAGACACCAGTAAGAGGAGACGAAGTTTAAGCAACTTCGCTACCATGTCGTGGCCCCTACGCCCCAAAAACACCTCAAGTGCATGTGCCGAGAGCCTGCAGAGGCTGGCCCTCTGAGGCTTTGCAATAACAAAGCAGTAGAAAGCCTACAGGGAAAAGACACACAGAGCAACTGCTGCACCTCCCCATGCAGCTGCAAGAACCCATTCATGCCATTTTCTGGCCCTGCCTCATGGAATATGCAGCACACATTCATCAGGATATCAGACTGCAAGCAGCAACAACCACTAACAAACAAGGTCAATGTGCTTCTGGTTCTGCATTCAGCATGTAAATAGAGGAAGAGCAGCAAAGCACTCTGTCGGAGAGCCTTGTCCTTCTCTCACCTCCCCCCAAACACAGGGCTGCATCAATTCCCTTCCCTGAGGCTAGGCACGAGCCTCCAGCCAGCCACAGGATGCTGAGGAGCCTGCACCCGCATAGCAGTGACACATACAAGATGCCCACCACATGGCTTCTCACCCATTTTGCAGTCTGCCTTGGGCCGGGACTGAATCGTGGTGACAGTGGTCACGATGGTGCCGTCAGGCATGATGGTCCGGTCCATCTCCACCTTCTTAGTGGGGGTGATGCTGGTTCTCAGGGAAGTAGCATGTTGAGCATTCAAAGATGCAGGAGACTCCTGGAATAGCAGCTACAAAGAGTAAAGCGCAGCTCAGAGAGGCTCTCCTCTTCCCAGTTGGAAAGACAGGCATGTGGATGATAAAACCTACTGCTCCAGGCACCAAGGAGCAATCCCCACTACCAAGTTGGTTGAGCAGACAGAGGCTTGGGGATCAAGGGCCCGGTGACACCCCTCTGCAATGTAAAGGTCTGACAGTCCCCTGCAATGAGCCCAGGCCCAGTTACAACCATCTCTGGCTAGAGGCTCGTGCCGCAAACACTGTTACAGGCTCACCTCCAATGTAATGGTAGCTTCAGCCGCCAGTGACCACCCGGCTGCCGGGGCCAGTGAGCAGACCTGTCTCCCGGAAGGTTGTTTGCCCAAAGAATCAAGCAAAAGCGTGGTGTGTGCCAGCAGCACACCTGCAGGAGGGAACAGGAAAACAGAACACATCACGTGAACTCAGCATCCAAGACACCTTCTGCTTTTTGGGAAGCAGCCCTGTGGGCCAGCAAAGCCAAGCCCCCCTGCCTATAGCTCCCAGGTTCAAAGTGGGGAAGAAGCAGGCAGTGCTCCTCTGTTTCTCTTTACCGATCCAGAAAATAACTCCCTGAAAGAGGTGGGTTTTGCACAGCCTCCACCAAAAGTAAGTACTGCATTTAGTCCCTGAGTGAGTGCAAATGAACAGAGTTACAAGCCTTGTGCAAACTTCTTCCAACACACAGGGGCAAATCCCCCCATCCCTCTCCCCACTTCAGACTGGGGACAGGCAGGCCACAGGAATCTCCTGGGTATCAGAAAGGTCAGAGCTGAGAGCGTTTCACTTGGAAGAACAGACTACAAAGTTATTCTACACAGTGAGAGGTTCACATACAGTCAGATATGAAAAATCCCTTGCAGAGTTCACTGCAATCGTACCAACACCAAACCACCACAGGCTCAAAGCACACAAAGTCCCTTAGGCACATTTGTCTCCCCAGCTTACAACCTGTCCTATGGCTTCCAAGTGCAAGGTCCTACACCTGGGTCGGAGCAATCCCAGACACAGCTACAGGCTGGGCAGAGAAGAGATTCAGAGCAGCCCTGCGGCGAAGGACTTGGGGGTGCTGGTTGATGAGAAAATGAACATGAGCCAGCTTCAGTGTGCGCTTGCAGCCCAGAAACCAACCGTATCCTGGGCTGCATCAAAAGGAGCGTGACCAGCAGTTCGGAGGAGGTGATCCTGCCCCTTTACTCTGCTCTCGTGAGACCTCACTTGGAGTATTGTGTGCAGTTCTGGTGTCCTCAATACAAAAAGGACATGGATCTGTTGGAACAAGTCCAGAGGAGGCCACGTGGATGCTCAGGGGACTGGAGCACCTCCCATATGAAGACAGGCTGAGAAAGTTGGGGCTGTTCAGCCTGGAGAAGAGAAGGCTGCGGGGAGACCTCATAGCAGCCTTCCAGTATCTAAAGGGGGCCTATAGGGATGCTGGGGATGGACTCTTCATTAGGGACTGTAGTGACAGGACAAGGGGTAATGGGTTAAAACTTAAACAGGGGAAGTTTAGATTGGATATAAGGAGAAAATTCTTTCCTGTTAGGGTGGTGAGGCACTGGAATAGGCTGCCCAGGGAGGCTGTGAATGCTCCATCCCTGGCAGTGTTCAAGGCCAGGTTGGACGAGGCCTTGGGTGATATGGTTCAGAGCGAGGTGTCCCTGCCCATGGCAGAGGGGCTGGAACTTGATGATCTTAAGGTCCTTTCCAACCCTAACTATTCTATGATTCTATGATTCCAGTACTCACTTCCCCCTCTGTCGCTGTTCCCCAGCACCTGTAGCTTCAGCTCTCTACTTCTGTGTCCCAACTCCCTGTTGGAACAAAAAAAAGACAGGCTCATATTAGGCAATCCACAAAAGAGCCAAGCAGCAAGCAACCCCATTCCGTATCTTCCCTCCCTCAAATCTCACGTGCCTTGTCACCTTTTCCAAAGCTTCAGTATGCATATGCTACTTCGGAGGACAAGAGAAGTTTGCTGCCCCTTTAGCCCCTGGTAGCAAACCACACAGAAGAGGAGAACTCCCGTTTGTATCACCTGCAGGGCTGTGTTACGTTGCCAGGTGAAGCTGAGAGCAATTCGTCTAGAAGGCCGAGATCTACACTCCAGGCCTCCTGCACCTGCCGCGCCCACAAGCTGCCCACTATCACCGCTTCTGACCACCCAGTTAAAACAGAGTCCAGAAGACCAGGAAATGCATATGCAAGGTGAGCCCAATCACTGGAATTGTTAGCCCAGCACACGAGCAGCACAAACTCCTGCCGCCCCACAGCACAGACTTCACCTTTTGTGCAGTCTGCATCAATTACCATCACGCAGTAATGACACCCAGAAATCATGCTAGTCCACCTCTGCTGTGCCAGCTGTGAGGAGGGTGCAACACTTACAGAAAGAGCTCCTCATTCCACTCCATTTCTGCCACAGAGGTGGCACTGCCAGCTGTCACCGGCCTCGTCCACTTCTGCTGCAGGGGGCTGTCTAGTTCTGCCACACAGCATATCTCATCAAGTCCTGCAACAGAGGCATGGAGTGCATGCATGTGCTCAGCACGAGGCAGTGGCTTGGTGGTCACATGCTCCTCTTTTCTGTTTTTTTTTTTTCCATTCAAACCCACCCAAAACATCCACTCACTCCAGTCTCACCACCTGTACGCTTGCTCCTGCAGATCAGCAAAGCCTTCATGCTTACCTCCTTTCCCCTGGCAGCCCAAGTTCAGCACTCGAAGATTCCGGAGCAACAGCTTAGAACCCAGAGGGGCTACTCTGGACAGTGACTCTCGAGTCAACTTATCGCTGGTAACCTGAGAAATGACAAGAATGAGACCCACGCCTTTATCGTTCACTTGCCAGCCAACAGCAGCCAGACACACGACTTGGCAGTTCATCCCTGTATCTGCCAAGTTGCTCCTTGCACCAACTGTCAGGGAATACCTGCAGAGCCATCAAGAGATGCTGCAGGTTCCCCCAAGATATTGACCTCCGTTGGGCCCCTGTGTTATTTCAGATGGTGAATTTCACGCAGACAAGAAGAGACAGCCAAGCACAATCTCGCTGGCTGCCAGGCAGACTATGGAAGATGGCATTCCATGCCCACAAAGGCTGTTGCAGACAGAACCTCAGCTTTCAGAGGAATGGAGAGATTACCAAAAAGACATATGTCTCAGGCAGTTCCACTCCACCTCAGTAAAACTGACACTCAGTGCTCAGAAAAGAAGGTACGAACAGAGCTGCCCTTTGGAGTGGTTTCAAATCAACTCTCCTCCCCATGCCACAGTACCCCAACCCCTATTACAGCACGGGGCGGGTTGAGGCTGTCACCCAGAAGCAAGTCTAGACCTCTATATTCCTGCCTGAGCTTCAGCCCCCAGAAGCACCCCAGGGCACAGAGCTTGAGGCACAAGAGTGACAGGAGGAGAGTGTCTTACTGCACCAGCTCCAACGGTGCAGGCCTTCAGATTCACCGTCATGGCTGGCTGTGTGCTGATGATGGTATCCTCAATCAGATCCTTTATGGTGGACAGGTCTGCTCTCCCTTCATTCTTCTCTCCACAAATCAAGAGGAAACACAGAAAAATCATAACAAGGCAGACATGTTTTCTTTTTATACAGCTCCAGCTGCCTCTCACACTTGTAAGACACTACACGGTCTTTCTCCCAGCAATAGCATCCCAGGTACTCCTGCCATATCCTGTACTTGCTTTCCCCACTATTTAAAGCTTCTGTGTAACAGCTGCAGGCAAATGTAAGTTGTCTAAATGAGACAGACTAATCCTCTACATCTGTAGTCTATCTGTTGAAAATTTTGACAATACAGCTTTTAAAGTTTGTCACGTCCTCACCACCTCATGAGATGGTACTAGCGCACTTCTGGGAGAACAGCTCGATTCCTCCATGTGCTCAGGATAAAGCAACAAGGGCATCAATAAAACAAGCAAACGAACCAACCTACTTGGGTCACAGAAGCACAAGCACTCCTGTGTTTAGCTCATTAAGCCGCTAACAACCGTGGGTTCCATTCTGCATGCTAACCTCTCAGAAAAACCCCAAATAAACAAAACAAGCAAACAAAAAGCCCAAACCACCACTCCCCTCCCACAACACCACCCCCCCAAAAAAAAAAACAAACAAAAAACCAACAGCTCATTGTGCAGCTCAACATCTGACAACAGTAGATGGACCTATGCAGACAGAAAGACTTTTTTGCTACGCTTACTTCCATTCAGCTGCTACACCAAACTCGGACAACAGGCATCAGTACCGCTTCAGCCCCTCTTGAGGAGAGCTGCTTTGACAGACCTGAGCTAGTACAGAATCTAGGGCAAAAGAACCCCCTCCCCTGCCCTGAAGGGCCACGAGAGCAAGCTGCCAACCTCTCCTTTCCCCTCTGCCACAGCCTTTCTTCTGTCTCAGCACTGTTTCTGCCTTTCTCAGTTTCCCTCTACTCAAGCCCGCCTCTCCCACTGTTTGCCGCTCACCTCACAAAGTTGAAGTCTCGGAAGAACGGAAAGGTTCATGTCCGGTCTGTCCTTGAACGTCCACGACACCAGGAGACCTTCATTCTGAATCTCCTCCAAGTGGATCTCCACCTGACGCAGAACAAATACCCACAGTAAAGAAGAGGTTCTGCTTGCCCTGCTTCAAATTCAGCGACTGAAAGGCTCCTGCGCCAGTGCAACAGGAAGAGACAGAACGTAAGAATACAAGTGGTCCCAGGCCTACAGGTGAAGCAGCTGCAGCAGAAGCTCCGTACCAAGATCTGGCTTTCTAGCTGCTTATGGATGCCCAAGCACTAAAATCAATGCCAAACTCAAACCTCTCTGGATTTTGTTATGGCTATGTTACATAGCCAACCTCTGCAGAACAAGACACAGAAAGCAGAAATTGGCACTTAGATCGGGATTATCTACCACCGTGCCAAATATGAGGGCAGCAACGCCACTTCTTCCAGCGTCACAAGGCCTTTCTTCACACTATACCGTGTCCTTCCTCAGTCTGTGTAGGGGCAGGTGAAGGAACAAAGTCACAGGCTAACTTTTTACAACCATTACCTGAGCCTGCAGCACAGCCAAAGTGACATAATAGGTGTCCACAGAAACAGCAACTGGGGACTGCTGAGTAACAGACACAGGGAATTTCACAGCTTCAGCTGACAGATGGCAACACAGCACCTAGAGAGAAAAGGAAAGAAGAGTTTATACCGCTGGTGAGAAGCTAACACCACACAACAGCAAAATCTCTAAGAGTGATAGGCAAGGTTCACCCACCGCGCCAGGAAAGAAACATGAGGCTTGCTCTCAGACCCTGCGGAACCTGCCGTTAGAGACTATGCACGTAATGCAGTAAAGATATACCGGTGACAAGATCTCTCTTCTCCTTCTCCACTGCAGGATCCCGGTATTCGGTCTCAGCATATGTATGTGCTAGCTCCACCAACGGATCTCCCCTAGGGCTCCCACAGAGTCAGTTGGCACATCCCCGAACTCAACAACGAATCTTGCCCAAAACCTCCCCGGTTCCACACTCCTCATCACGCAGCCTCCCTGCAACATGCCATCAATCGACAGAAAAAACCCACAGAGGACAATTGAGAACAGGAAACCCTTACCATGCTGCAGTCCGGCTGTCCCTTGCATGTCACGTGACTTATATTTGCTGCTGGTGGTAGCTGAGAACCCTCTTCAAACGTGATCTGCACTGAACTCTACGAAAAGAGAACTACATTAGTTCTGATCAAAATATCCCAGGTAGTTTGAAGGAGGACGAATGCCTGGGGTGGGGCCCCCGGCACACTCATGTCCCTTTCCACGAGTCTTCCTAGGCACAACCATTGCATGCTGCCATTCTGCCCATCCTGGCTTGCCCTTAAAGAAAAGGAAAACAGGGTCTCCACTCGATGCTTAGACTCACAAACACTACATTAATTTCAGACATTTCAGAGATTCCTCTCAAATGAGAACGCAAAATTGTTGCAGTCAACTCTAGGTCAAGTGCATTAACCCTTCTTCACTGCAGAAGCCTTCCCGTTTCTTCTCTCCCTGCTCTGTGCTAATCCTGACCCAAGTTAAAAACAAACAAGCAAACAAACCTCCAAACTAATCTTTTAAAGTTCATCAAGCTGAAAGAAGCCACACAGAAACAAGAAAACCACAGAAGAAAACAGACTAGCAAGAAGGAAGCAACTGAGCATCATTCCTCCAGGACTAACTAGGACTCCGGAAAGCTAGCCTCCCTCTATCATCCTTTCTTAGCAAACCATGAGACTTTTACCCCAGTTTTGGCATTTTCTTTTCCCTCTCTTGGGACTACACACAAGGGAGAGTCAGCAAAGAGCTCCTTAGCAGAATGCATCACGCAGGAACTCAGTACTGAAGCACTAGCTAAGGAACAAAACACTGACTTTCAGCTGTTTTCTCACCTGACAAAGAGATACCTCAAAAACAATTGCATTATATGGGATACTTGCAAGTCTAGGCCAAATGTTGCAATGCAGCAACCTTTTGCACAGATCACAAGGCTTAGATAGAATCACAGAATGGCTAAGAGATGGAAGAGACCTTAAAGCTCATCTAGCTCCAATTCATTGCCACAAGCAGGGACACCTTCCACTAGACCAGGTTACTCAAAGCCCCGTCCAACCCGGCAGAACTTTGAGAACACTACGCTTGACCTACATAATTCAGATCTGCTCCGTCTTGTGCAATTACTTTCAAGTAAAACTGTAAACAGCCTTATTAATCTTTCTGCTCTCCAAATGCCAGACACCACCATCTACTTTAAGTACCAAAACTGAAGCACCCCAGACTTGCTGACAAAGCAAAGTCCTCCTGCAGCCAAATCACAGAGACCACTCCTTCAGGTTCTGCAGCCTTTATTCTAACGGCTGTACTGCAGGGGTGAAACTTACCTGCCTTGTAACTGAAAAATACTTCAAAAAAAAAGACACAGGCACAGTTCAGGCAACGCATAACTAAACCAAGCACTCTCCCAAGGCTCCTTCCCCAAAGATCCAATTGCTTCATCTCACACCATCAAGTTATTACCAAGTACAACAGACTTTGGAGCCTGTGCCCCACAGGCAATGCAAGCTACCATGCAATTCTTTCCACGTGGAATCAGTGTGGAACATTCTTCTTCACAGACTGCAAAACTCTAGATCAACATAGCGGTAACGCTAGGAGATTAAAGAGAATAAACACCACAAAATTCGGAAGAGGTTGCTGGGGAAACCTCAAAGCGGCCACAGCAGCCGGCTGCATCAGAGCCCACTCGGCCTCGAGCCCCGAAGCCGCTGTCCAGGGGCTCCTTTCCGTGTTCCGACGACGCTGCTCGAGAACAGGCGCTGGCTCCCTCCGGCCAAGCCCCCACAGCCACAGACAGGGACCGGCCGGGACGGCTTCCCCGCAGCCTGAGAACAAAGGGCCGGCAGCCCCGCCCGCCCACAAGCCGCCGCCACCGCCCCCGGGACAGCTCCCCCCGCCCCGCCTCCCCGCCCGGGCCCCGGCCGTACCCCGTGCCGGCGCGCCTGGCTGTTGAGGGCTCGCACCCAGGCCCGCTGCCACTGCTCCCGCAGGGATCGCAGAGCGAGCAGCGCGGCGAGCAGCGCCCGGGCTCCGGCCTCCTCCGTCACCGCACCGCGCCGCCGCGGCGCCCGCAGGGCCGCAGACCGCCAGTACTGAAGCAGCCAAGCCGCGACGGTGAGCAGCGAGGCGGCGAAGAGCAGCACCAGCGCGGCCCAGCCTAGATCCGGCCCCATGGCACAACGCGCAGCAACTCACGGCGGGCCGGCTGGCACGGGCACGGCCCCGGCGCTCCGCCGCCGGCCCAGCCGCCGCCACCTCCTGCCAGAGGGAGGGGGAAGGTGGCGAGGCTGCGTCGTCGCCCGCCTCCCGGCCCCGCGGCGCATGTGGGCTCGGCCCGGCCAGCGCCGCAGGAGCCTGGCCCCAGCAGAGACCCAGACCCGGGCCCGCGCTCGCACAACCGAGGAGCCGACCTGCCCCCCCCCTTCCCCGCCGCCGGCCGCCTTCTTCCGGCGCGGCGCCCCCGCGCGGCCCGGCCCCGCGCGCAGCTCGCCCTCTCCGCTCCCGCATAGCGGTCACGGCCCTCGGCAGCACCGGCCGGCGGTTGGCGACGCCTGGCTGCGGACCCCCACAATCTCTACCCAGCACCCCCCCTCCGCGGTTTCCTCCCTGCCCGTAACACCGCGGCCTCCACGTTAAAGTGTACAAATCGGGCTCGCAGCGGGGCCGAAGCGGCCTCACCCCTTCAGCAGCGCTCTGCGCGCCACAGTCCACTCGCACCGGGCGCGGGGAAAGCCTCTCTCTGCTGCCGCAGCTTCCCTTCGCCACTCACCGACTCCTACCACACGCACACCCCGCGGAAAGGGTCCCGCGAGGGTCTCAGCGCTGTTAACCGCCAGCCCAGAGGCTTCCGTTAGACACTTTATTGGCTTTTAAATACTGGAGGGAACGCGCGGGGGAAAGGAGCAGGCGGCTGCTCCGCCCCTCGCTCTCTTGCGTCTCGCCAGAGCTCGAACGCGGGACCTCCTCACCCCCGCGCAGCCCCGGCTCCCACCGCGCTGCCCGGGGGCAGCAGCCCGCCGGCGCCGCTTCCCAACCCCAGGAGCCACGCGAGCCCGGCCGCCGGGGGTAGGAAGTGACGTACTGAGGGCGGCCACGGTGGTCGCGGCGCTGCGCGGCGGAGTCCGTGGCGGGGCTGTCCGACGCGGAAGGCTCCAGCGCCGGCCAGAGGCGCGCTCCCCGCTCCGGCGCGGCCGCGGCTTGTCAGGGAGAAACCCGCGCCCCCCCGCGGCTCCTGCCAAAACCGGCGCTGCTCTCACCGATTGGTCGGAGGGAGCCCGCGCATCCGGTGCCTCCGCTCTAGCGTCCGGCTGGAAACACGCGGCTGGAGGGAGTGGCGGGCGGCGTTCCGCTCCCGGCCGCGGTGTGTGCCCTTGGCAGGGGCAGCGCCCACCGTGGTCATGGCGGCCTGGCCCGCTGTGCCGCTCCTCATCAACCTCGGCGGGTCGCTACTGGGCTTCGTGGCCACGCTGACACTGATCCCGGCCTTCAAGGACCGCTTCCTCGCCGCGCGGCTCTACGGCGAAGACCTCAACAAGGCCTCGCGGCGGCCAGTGTGAGTAGCGCTGCCCCACCGAACCGTGCGCCGCAGGGCCGCACCGGCCCCGGGACCAGGACCAGCTGGGCCGACTGCGCGCCTTGCCTTCCTTTCAGCCCCGAAGCACAGGGCGTGATCAGCGGGGCCGTGTTCCTGATCATCCTCTTCTGCTTCATCCCCGTGCCCTTCCTGAGGTGCTTCATGGAGGAGCAGTGCGCGGCCTTTCCTCACGACGAGGTGAGGCTCGCCTGGTGTCGGGAGTGCGGCGGACACAGGCGGGAGTGGCCACCGGTAATAGGGGTGCTGTTCTCTGTCCCGCAGTTTGTGGAGCTCATCGGTTCGCTCCTCGCCATCTGTTGCATGATTTTCCTGGGCTTTGCAGATGACGTTCTGAACCTGCGCTGGCGCCACAAGCTCCTTCTTCCGACCATGGCTTCCCTCCCGCTGCTCATGGTTTACTTCACCAGCTTTGGGAACACGACCATTGTGGTGCCTAAGCCCTTCCGTGTGCTGCTGGGCATGCACTTGGACTTGGGTAAGTTGTTACGAATCAGCAGAAGCCATCATACAAGCGGCAAGTGATCTGTGGAAGGGGTCACCCTCTGTGCTGCAGAGGGAATGCACAAAGGATTTGCTTAAGTAAGGAGCGAGAGAGCACAAGTAAATATTTGCGGCACACACAACTATACTGGCAATGAGAGGGTACCCACTAAATATTAATTCGGGTGGAAGCTACATCCAGAAACCCAGCACGCACTCAGCCACACACAGGTAGGCACCATGCATTTTTCCAGGGTTCTGGCAATACAGTCCAGCACCAGGTACGTACAGCAGTTAGCTGCCAATGCCAGGATGACAAAAAAAAACAGAAACGGTGCTACGGTCTGCCACTGCATCGCATCCGTTCTCTGCGGCCCTCATGTCATACATATATGTACAGATGACAGCCAAGTCAACGGGGTAGAGAAAGATTTGTCAGTAAGCTACCACTTACTGACAAACTCACCAAGAGCACCAGGTAATAGGTTATTGTGCAAAGCAAGAAGCAAGAGCTTTGGTGAATTGGACCGGGTCTGTTTTGCCTGTGAATATTAAAGTACTCTGCTTGCTCTGACCTGCAGGTATCCTCTACTACGTGTACATGGGCATGCTAGCAGTGTTCTGCACCAACGCCATCAACATTCTCGCTGGAATTAATGGAATTGAAGCAGGGCAGTCGCTGGTGATAGCTGCTTCCATTATTGTGTTCAACATTGTAGAGTTAAATGGTAAGGTAGATAGCGTATGTGTTTTGGGGTGCAAAAAGCAAAGGGAGATAGAATCCTAGATTTTGATATCTGTACTAGTAAAAACCAACCATTCCTGTCTTATCACAAACATATTTTTTTCTTTTCCTATAGGGGATTACCGAGACGATCACATTTTTTCTCTCTACTTCATGATTCCCTTCTTTTTTACCACGCTGGGGCTGTTTTACCACAACTGGTAAGAGGATGGACAGTCAGAGTTTCTTTGGAAGCATCCTTTCCCTCTACATTCTTCCTTTTCAAACAAACCAACCCATTTACCAGCATGCAGTTGGAATGCTGGGGCATAGATGGGTCCCTTGCCAGAACCAACAGTGCAAAGCATCGATGCGCTGGTAGCTTGTTTTTGTTAGCACAATTCCAGTCACACCAGCTCTCCAAAATGTACGTGAGCATATGCTCTGTCTCGTTAGCCATTCTTTCATATCATATTCTCTGCAATCAGGTTGTGGGTCCCAGCCCTGCAGTTCTTGGCATAGATAGCTGCAGTGGTTGTTTTTACCATGTAGATTTGCTGCAGTTCCCTCTCTAGCCAGCCACTTGGGAATATGTTTGGTGGTTATAAAGTCATTTGCATGGCAACAGCGATGATGACGGACCTTTGCTTTTCTGCTCTGTGGATTGCAGGTACCCGTCTCAAGTGTTTGTTGGGGACACCTTCTGCTACTTTGCCGGCATGACCTTTGCTGTGGTGGGGATCTTGGGACACTTCAGCAAAACAATGCTGCTTTTTTTCATCCCACAAGTGCTCAACTTCCTCTACTCATTGCCTCAACTCTTTCATGTCATTCCTTGTCCCCGTCACCGGCTGCCAAGGTAACGTACCCGAGCGACCTGTACGAGTACCACAGATTGTGCCTTTTATCGTGAACACCAGCTGAGAAAGATGGTGGTATGTGTGCTCTGAAAAAGCCATCAAAGCCATTTTATAGCTAAAAAAGCCATTTTATAGCTAAAAGTTAGCCAGCTCCGACAGACTTGGTCAGGTCACACAGTAGAGGTTTCTCAAAGACGTTATCTTTTCTGACTGCTGCAGGCCTCCCAACCCCCAGATACAGAACTAATTTTTAACAATGTTAGAATATGATTATTCTCAGTGACAAGATCAAGAGAGATTGACACAGGTCGCTTTTAGTACTGTTGTGGTAGTATTTGCTAAAGTTTCACAATAGCAAGCATTCTGTGGCACTGTGCTGCATCAGCAGTTGTCTCTGCAGATGCTAATGCTTTAGTTTTAAAACTAAGCAGCTCTATGCGTATAACAGGGGTGCAGTGGGGAGGAATCTCCTCCTTGCTCTGCCCAATCTGAGGGACTCCATATCAGCATGTTGCTGCATGTGTGGGATTAGTCCTGTTTTTTCCACCACTGGCTTTCTCTCTCAGCTACTCAGCTGGGGATCTCTCTCTCTCCTCGCTCTATCCGAACTAAAATTGTAATGTTTCTTTTAGGCTCAATCCTAGCACAGGGAAGTTGGAGATGAGCTACTCCAAATTCAAAACTAAGAGCCTCTCTGCCATGGGAACAAACATTCTGAAGGTAAAATCCAGAAAACATTCATAAGTCAGGCCCATTTTGAGGCAGTGATCACAAGCGAGAGGAACAGGATGGGAGGGAAAACAGAACTGGGTTTGCTGGTTATTTCCTGGCTCAAATCCAGAAGAAAATACTCCACTTGGTCCGTCACCATCCCTCATGGGCGCTCGATTGTGTTCAGAATCATTACACATAGCAGTGTCCTGGAACCATCATAAGCCTGTCATCTGCCTTTTTAGTAAGAGTGCAGGCTCTTTGGGGATTGTATAGGAAAAGTAATCTCGAGCAAAACTGGCCAGTGAGCACCAAACATACCTGGTAAAATAATGTGTAATATTTCTTTCTCCAGGCCGTTAAGATCTTGCATATAGTAGATGTGAGGAGTGGAACAGATGAAGATGGTGAATATACTGAGTGCAATAATATGACCCTTATTAACTTCGTTATAAAGCTGATTGGACCCATCCACGAGCGAAGTCTCACTCTCCTGTTGCTGCTCATTCAGGTCAGACCAATGTTTCCTCCAGTAAAAAGATGTACTCTGAAACAGATCCAATAAGTCTCAAGCATTTCAAGGGGAAAAGGGGAAGTAAAGTATCATGCTTTTCACACAAGATGCAGTTGAGTTGTTGAGCTTGAGGAGAATCAGGAGGTTTATGCTGCTCAAGGACGAAAGAGATTCCTCCCCCTGCCTCTACCCATCACCCCTCCATGTTCACTGAGAGCTAATAAATACAAATCACGAGGTTAGCTTGAGAAGGTTCCCAAGGCATGAATCACTGGATGCTACAAAAACATTAGGACAGCAGAGTGCTTTGTCACTGACCAGATCCAGCTTTTTCCTACATTCCTGTTTGTCACCCAGACCAAATAACGCAGTCCTGGAGTTATCTCCAGCTGGTGGACTTGGTAAGCATGGCACACAGCTCAGCGGTACCCAGAATCTGAGTGGAGTGCAGAAGTGTTTGGAAGCACTTTAGAGCATGAGAGTAAATTGCCTCACAGCTACTGCCACTACCTCTGGTCAGCATGTGAACTC